TTTAATCTCCTTGTGAATTATGCATTGCTTAGCAATATGACGGTTTAAAATTACTGTATGGCTATATTATCTACTTTTTTTTTTAAAAAAAAGGAAAAGCAGTGAGCTATCAAATATTAAGAAATCCTCATAGGTTTTTTTTTTAAAAAATTAAAAAAAGATGTGAGGGGGGGAAAAAGCCTCTGGGAGGATCTGATTAAAAATGGAGAATATATATATTTGCAGAGTGAGAACGAGGCAGTTCTGCATCGAAACTATTTCCAAAATAACTTCGAAAGGCAGGCAAAGTCATAAGCAGAGGTGAAATGCTACCGGTTCACACCGGTTCAGGGGAACCGGTAGTGGTGGCTGCGTGTGGTTCGACGAACTGGGATGGTGGCAGCACAAGGCTCCGCCCACCTGCCCGGACGTTGTTACTTCCTGGTTTTAACCAGGAAGTAACCTGTTTTTGACCCTCTGCGCATGTGCAGAAAACTTTGCACATGTGCAGAGGGTCCAAAATCACACCTGATGCGCCCGTGTGAGCAAAGCGCGCACGCGCAGCACGCTCACTTCCAAACTGGTAGGGAAGGTAGGTAGATTTCACCCCTGGTTGTAAGGTATTCTTAATTCAACGAGCTGCTAATCCTTCTGTTCAAGTGGCTAAATCAGTGGATGTGCTAAATTGCCTAATCTTAATTTCTTATCGGCAGGGCTTCCTATTAGCAGAAGAGATCGTTTTAGTTTTTAATATTTTATACTCCATATATTGAAATTGTATTTCAAGAAACCTTCCTGGACTGACCTGCGAAGGTTTTTTTTCGCAGCCCCATTTCGCTTGTTGGAAGACGTAATTGCATTTAGACCAAGGTCTTCTGAAGGAAACGGCCGACTAAATTAACATTAACTGCGTTCCTGTGGGGCTCGGTGCATTGTGGGTAGACGATTTCGCCTCTGGAAAGGACAGGTTGACCTAAGAGAGACCAGATGTTGACAAGGCACAGCGTTAATTGATTTTCCCAAAAGGGGCAAATTTAATCACCTGGGAGGGGAAATGAAAGACGAAGTGGAGAACTTAATTGCTTCGTAATTTTTCGTCTTTGTTCACTGCCTTCAACCGAGTGCAGGTATCTCTGGGCTATCCCATAATTCTTTCAAACCCAAGTTTAGGGATGGTCTCAGCTCAGGTAGATAGATATAGATAGATGCAGATAGATAAAGAGAGATGATAGAGCTAGAGATGATCGAGAGAGATAGAGATAGAGAAATAGATGATAGAGAGATAGATGATGGATGGATGGATGGATGATAGATGATAGGTAGACAGACAGACAATATGTAGGTAGGTAGGAAGGAAGGAAGAAAGAAGGATGGATGGATGATGATAGATAGATAGATAGATAGATAGATAGATAGATAGATAGATAGAT